TGCTGTTGTTAAGAACTTTAGGAGCTCGTGGAATGATTGAGTGAAGCTGAAGTCTTTTACGCACAGCATATAAAACACGAAAGGAACCTATCGTTTGATGTACAGTTTAGTCTCCTTTTTCTACGATTGTAAAAAATGTGGCCCGGGCACAGTCAAGGATATTTTTGCCCGAGATTACTACTTCTTATGACGAAAAACTCGTGAAAATCGAAATAAATAAGCGATCAAAATATTTGGACCTGGCTTACGTATTGACTGACATGTGGGATGGTCTACTGACCGAAATTATACCTGTAGCCGTTTCTGCGAACCGTTCCGGTGGGTCATCTGAGGTAACTGGAACTTCGTAACTTATATATTAAGAAAGAAACAGCAAACAAGCCTTGGCAGTAATTAGGAACACTTCGTAAAATCTAAATAAAAAAACTCTCTTAACTACACCATACTATCTAATAGTCGATATAACATCACCATTTTGACTCTTTATTAATTGATTGTTCGATAAACAGTTATCGTTGTGTAATGCCATCTATGCAAACAAGGGCTCCGGGCTGAAGTGCAAAAGTTGAAAAAATATTTTTTTTAACTTCCGCGAACAAATCAAATGTTCTTCATTATATTATGTTTATGCTTAGTACAGTGATATATGTCTGTGAGCTTGACCTAGGAGATAGAGTCTTTGATAATAGACTCTCATTATTTTTGTGAATATTTTGTCTTAGATATGTGATATTTATCTTAAATTACTATGTCCGATGATGAAGTTTTTGTGTGAGCAAGTGATATGAGCTCGTCTTTTCACTCCGATGATGATGATTATAACTTTCAGGTCGCCATCAGGCAACAAATTTCTGATACGTTTATTAACTTTGTTTACTCCAATCTTAATATTTGTCATATTAATGCGCAAAGCATTCCATGTCATTATACTGAATTATTGGCTACTTTCTCAGCTGATCTCGTCCATGCTATACTAGTGTCCGAGACCTGGTTAAAACCTAACCTATGTTCTACATCATATGGTCTACCAGGCTTTATAATGGTACGACAGGACAGAATTTTAAGGCGTGGTGGAGTCGCTATTTACCTACGTAGTGATATAACCTTCAAAGTAATATCCACTTTTGATCAACAGGCTAATGACATGGAGTATCTGTTTCTTGAAATTAATTTAAAGGGGGCCAAAGCTATTCTTGGAGTCGTTTACTCTCCTCCCTCTATTAATTATTTCTCCACTTTGGAATCTATCCTAGATAACATCTGCTCTGAGTACACACATCAAGTTATTATGGGTGATTTCAACACAGACCTGTTAAAAAACTCCTCTAATTCTCAAAAGTTACGATCCATCATAAACTCGGTCAACCTCTCCATTCTCCCCCTTAAAGCTACTCACTCTAATTTTTCTACCGCGGATTCTTGGATCAATATAATTATTACATCTTCTAATAAAGTTGCGAGTTATGGTCAGTTCCCAGCTCCTGGTTTTTCGAACCATGACTTGTTATTTCTCTCATATAAATTAAAACCACCTAAACATATCCCTTATACAAAAGTTACGTAGCTATGCTCGATTAAATAGAGATAGCTTAATTAATGTTGTGTCCGCCATTGATTGGTCTCCAGTGCTAAATACTGACTCAATTAATGATATGGTTATGGAGTTCAATTCTAAATTATTGAATATTTTCAATACACATGCGCAAGAACGCGAGGTTAAAATGAAACGTCCATCAGTACCGTGGATCACTAGCGACGTACGCCTGGCAATGAACAGACGCAACAGAGCTTTTGTCACATATAAATCGTGCCGTACTATACAGAACTGGGAGGCCTTCAAAAAGGTTAGGAATCGCTGCAATCAGGTGGTGAGGTCTGCTAAACGCCGATATTTTCATGACTTCCTAATTAATTCTTCGCAATCGGAGACATGGAAGTTCATTCACTCTCATGGTCTCAGTAAAACTAAAAGACAAGTAATCTCATATATTTTCTCATTAAATGATCTCAATGCTCACTTTTCTATAGCGGCTTGTCTCCCATCTCACATTAAAATGAAAACTATTTCGGATATTACTTCCATGTCATCCCTTCTCTTTTTCTGCTGTCACTGAGAAGGATATTTTAAATGTATTACAGAAACTTAAGTCAAAGGCAGTAGGTCATGAAAACATAGGAAGAACCATGATATCATATGTTTCAGATCATATTTTACCAATTTTAACCTCCATTATAAACCGCTCATTGCTTACTGGGAAGTTTCCGTTATGCTGGCAGAAGGCTTTTGTTCTTCCTCTTCCAAAAATCTCTATGCCCAGTGCTCTCAATCACTTCCGGCCTATCTCGATTTTGCCGTTATCAAAAGTCTTAGAAGCTGTAGTGCTCAAACAGATTCAAACTCACTTAACCAAAAGCAACTTACTGAATCAACACCAATCAGGATTTCGACCTGGACATAGCACCACAACGGCGCTTTTAAAAATAACTGAGGATGTGCGTAATGGCATGGAGTTTAGAAAGTTGACGGTGTTAGTTTTAATAGATTTTTCTAGCGCCTTTAATACCGTTGACCATGATATTCTCATCGCCATTTTGTCTTAATTAGGTTTTTCCTTGTCAGCACTGAATTGGGTCTCCTCCTATCTTCGTGGTCGCCAGCAGGCGATTCGGGTCGATGGTATGGTGTCCGATTGGGGTGAATTAACCACTGGTGTTCCGCAAGGTGGAATTCTCTCTCCTTTACTTTTCTCTATATTTATTAACATGACTACTTGTAATTTTCGTGCTTCCTACCATATGTGACGACTTGCAACTCTATGCTCATGCCGATGCTACTTCCATAAATAATGCTGTAACCGTGATTAACTCCGATCTTAACTGGATTCTTAATTGGTCAAGAAGGTATGGGGTCGCTGTTAATCCAAGTAAATACCAAGCTATAGTCTTAGGCAGTGCACGTCAATTTGGTAAACTTCATCATACATCGTTCGATCCTCTAATCTATAATGGCGAGGTAATTCCTTACAGCTCTCATATTAGGGACTTGGGATTAACCTTGGATTGTTCACTTACTTGGCGCAGTCATGTTGAGGAAGTTAGCCGTAAAGTTTGTACTACTTTGAGACAATTGTACAGATATAAAAATATCTTACCGCCTTGTACGAAAAAAATTCTAATTCAATCGCTAATTCTTCCTATGTTTGATTATGCTGAAGTGTGTTACTTAGATGCAGACAAATACTTGGTACATAAATTGGATCGGCTTCTCAACAACTGTATCCGTTTCATTTACGGTCTTCGAAAGTATGACCACATCTCTTTCTATCGCTCTCAACTTAAATGGTTAAATATCTCACAACGCAGGAGCCTTAGAATTCTTAGCACTCTGTTAACTATTCTTAACGATCCATTGGCCCCAGAGTATTTGAAATGTAAGTTTCAATACCTGGGTTCTTCCCATGATTGTAATCTTCGCTCTCGTAACAATCTCGTGCTCTATACTCCCTCTCACCGTACTGGTTTCCTCTCAAACTCTCGCTGTTACAGCTGTAAGACTCTGGAATGCGCTTCCCCTAGCAATAAGAAAATCCCCTAACAAATGGATTTTTAAAACAAAGGTAAAGGAACATTATTTGGGTTCATCTGACACAAAAATATGTAAATAATCTATAACACACATCTTAAATATATATAAGGATCTAACATCTGTTAGATCCATATATATATTTAATTAAGTTTTAACTATGAGTATGTATGTGTGTGGTGTGTGTGTGGAGGGGGGTGAAGGTGTATGTGTATGTGAAATTTATCAATTTTATTATTAAGTTTCATTCTAGCCCACTGCAGTACACGCATCTCCCACTAACTTTCCGGTTGGCTGGTAGAAAATGCCATATGGCATTAAGTCCGCCGTTTGTACCTTTAGTACAATAAAGTGTAAAATAAATAAATAAATAAATAATAGTATCTCGTTATTTTTAGTAGTTATAATAATAACAGTTTTGTTTATTAAAATTCAATTCAATCCATTATATGAACCAAAGTTTAGAGAGCAGCAATCCTCATGGAGTAAGTTCTCGCCAAAACTATACACTTATTCATCCATTAGAGCCTATAAAGTCTAATGCTGAAAATAGAGGGGAGTTTTCATAACGAAGTATAATTATTATGAGTATGAAGGTTGCCAACCACAGTTTTTTTTTTAATTTTGAGTTATTATCAGGAAGATGTAGCTACTGCTTATTTTCTGGTTCATTTTTTGAGTTACATTTTACGACCAATCGCGGAACGATATGGGTGTTTCGCGTATTTCGTGCAAATTCCACGACATTTGTAAATGTAAATTTATTGTCGAATAACTTCTTTTTTTCCCCCAATATCTTTAATATCCATAAAATTTTTCAACTTTTTGTGGTTTCTACCTTTCTTGTATAGATAACAATAAAATTACTGTCATATCAAAAATCGTAATGAAACGCTAATGAGAACTTCAAGGAAGGGAATGATATTGAGTAGTTAAGTTAAAGGATAGGGATAATGAGGGATTTTCATCGTAGACGTATGCAACTTAAGCTTTCTAAAACACCCGTCCTGTTAGATTGTTTTAGTATTTTATTTGTATTAAGACATTTTATCAACAAATAGACATTAATATGAACTTTGCAAGCACACGTATTTCTACTGGACTCCTTTGGATATAATAAATATAATATATAATATATTAGTATAATAAACCCATAATGGGCGATATTTACAAAATCTTTGATACGTTACTTCGACATTCGAATTATGCGTAATTTTTTTGTACAAATTAGTCAATGTGTCCGTTAAGTATCTTTCTGCTTCCTTATTTGGTTTTTAGTTATATATTTTTTTATCAGCTGCAATTCTAGTCATCTCCTCATCGTCCAAAAACTCCAAAATTAGTTGCTCTTTCAAGTTTTCATTTTTAGCTGTCTTATTTTCTTTTTTATCTCTTACTGTAAATATTTTTGTTTGTGTCAAGAGTTTATATTTTTTAAACTTTCCTTTTTCGTCATAACTACATTAGAGAATTCTTTCTTATCCTTTTTCCTCAAGCACTTATACCCTTCTCTAACACTTCTTGAAAGTATTTCACCAAACATTAGTTGCTCTTTAATTTCTTCACGCTTTTGTGTATTAACATTTTCTACTAATTGTTCTACTTTTTCTTCAGTCGATATATTTTCATTTTTCTTCTTATTTTTCATTATTCTATACAACATTTTTCTAATGCTATCTTTCTGTTTCTTCTTTTTTTTCTATTTCATGTTTCAAAATGCCTATTTCTTTTTTATACAGGTAGCGAACCTTTCTCTGAAGAGTATTTTCTTTAGGCACCCTTGACAAGAATTACTATTACCGTAATCTAAACGATTTAGATATGAATTAGGTATGAAGATTAGAGCTGATTGAGTGAGAGGATCTTGTTCAGCTGGATTGTCTAGGTGTCATATCTTTTAGATACTTATTTTTTCTGTTCTTTTCTTTTAAGGTATCTTGCTCTTTCTTTTGGCTTCAGATCTACATACTTTCAGGATCTTCCTTAATTTATGCATACTTTCTTTGTTTTTGTAATCGATCGCACTCTCGTTTCTGCTCTAATGTTTGTCTGGCTTTCTTTGGCATTATTAGTTCTTAATAATCTGTAACAACACATTATATGATATTGCTCTTATTCATCATATCAAGCTCATCCATAACTAAAATAATAAAAAGTACACTCACAAGGTTAGCTTGTGAGTTTACTATTTGTAAACAAACTTAAAGCTACATCAAGAAACAAAGTAAAAACTATTGATTCTTTATTTTACTATGAATTAAACTATTATTATAACTGTATCGTAGTAGTATTATTGTGGAAAAAATATCTCAACTACGGGTCGGACTAGAACTCGCGACCACACGGTTTGTAATGAAATAATGCACTGTAAATAATAATAATAAATTGACGTAAAATTGATTCTAATTGTCATCGTTTTGACCTCATCACCATCGCTAAAAAAACGACGGTAAACGAAGGTAGTGAGGACGTAGGTAATGAGGTTTTTATTCTTATCTTATTGTTTCGTAAAAAATATCAAAATTACGAATCTCGTGCTTACTTTAAATTACGGCGGTAATCACTAGAATTGATAATTAACTACATATTAAACAAAATCATTAATACTCAATAATATGGACGATATATGGAAAGAGGACGATTCCAGAATAATCCCCTCCCGCGAAACTTTACACGTAAATATTTTTTTTTTCAAGAACAGGCGTGAACCTTCTACGACGTTTGTTGGCTGGCTGAGACTTGTGCGGAGCGAGGCATGGTGGTATAATGACATTCACGCCAATACGCGGACTATAATTTAGATTTTCACTAAAACCGATGGTAATCAGAAAATTTTTATGAAATAAACATTTATGAAATAAAATTTCTTTATATTGTGGGGTTATCGTCATTTATTTTAAGAGTAAACGTTGTGTTTTTTAATAAAGTTTCATAATATGGTTATTTTTTATATTTAATGTTTATATTTTTGGCTAAAAATATAATTTTTTTTAGGAGAGTAGTAAATGGACAATGAAGATAATGAGAATTATTGAGTTTTTATTTATCATTAATTTATTATAACGTAATTTTATATTTTTATCTGTAAATATTACATGCATGTAAGCATTACCACTTTACATTTGATTTCCTTTATAAGAAATGTAGATATTTAATAAAAAAATGAAGACTTTTCTCCTGAACGTGTAATGTGCACGAAAAATTAAAAACACCCATATGCGATACGATAGTGCTAGTAGATTTTGTCGTGGAAGGAAAGGGAGAGATCTCCCGCCGGGCGAGGTGATCAGACCGAGGGAATACCAACACTCCGTGTGGTAGTACAGGGCTATTCTATATATACCGCAGTAGGTACTTCGGAGCTTCTATCTCGTGATTTAGGATTAGATGCGTTCCGCTTACGATATTATAATATTATACAGTGGATATTCTTACCACACCACTACACAGCTATATCTAACGTCACACTGTAAATTATCGAAACCGATTTGGATGATCTCATTACTGTGAATGATGGCTGTGAAAGCTTACTTTAGCTACTTTTCACGCTTTGAAAAGGGCTTCAGTCCGTACCTACTAATTTAATTTGGATGTCTATTGAAAAGGATAACGTATGGCCCTTCTAAGCCGACGGGCAATTTATAACGTTGGTGTAAAACTCCTTAAATACCTTATCAGTCCTTCCTACTGGCAATAATTCAATTTTTTAATGGAATAAACAGAAAATAATATTTTTTTTATTCTATATAGAAAACACGTGTACTTAACGAATTTAATTCACGCTTTTACTACTTAATCATAAAAAACGCCTGTACCGAAAGAACCAGCAGGAAACCCAGTCGGTCCGTTTTTAATATTCATTTTAGTTTAATATATTTATTTCTCTAAAATTTTCTGTTAATTTTACAGTTAATTCTATTAATGTTTAATTATATAAAATAATTATTTATAGATTTTTTTTAAATAAAGAAATTTATTTAATATTCTTAGAATGAATTGTGTATATAATTGACTTGTGACATCAGTCAGAAAGCTGGTATGTTTTATAAGGTAGGTAATGGAGAGCCATTTTGGTTGTAACAAGGCATTTCATCTCAGTCCTCAAGAGCTAATACAAACAAAGAAGTATAGACGTAGCTCTGCATACATTTCAAGTGACGCTGAAAATAAATCAAAACCATGGTTAACTTTTTGTATGAACACATGCGCATGTAAAATATTTTATAAAAAATTATTTGCCTACAACAGCGTGGTTAGATGTGTGTGTGTTTTTTTGATTGACTTAAATAAGTTATTAAAAAAGAAATAAAAAATGTGTGCCTGAGCCCGTGTCAAGATTTCAGCACAGTTTTATGCGAATGCAGGGGCAATGTTTATACATTTTGATTTTTAATCTAGGATATACACATATGTTCATGAGCCATCAAAAAAAGCTAAAATATCTTATCTATTCCAATATCAAACTTCTAAGCATAAGTAATTCTGTATAATATTTCAGTACTTGTTGAAAATTATACTTTTGAATGGATAGAGACGTAATTTTGCAACGCTATTCAATTTATATTCAATAGTATAGACGCTTTCAACAGAGTTAATTATTTGGCAGCAGGTATAACGCTAAGATTACGAGCTGTGAAATAAATAGACTTACCGTCGCTTAAGTGTACGCCTTGAAACATATCAGGATCCTAAGTATCGTTTGCTTACAAACAATATTGTAACAAAATTAATTTGAAATTAATTGTAAGTAGATAGTATAGCTTTTATGTCGAAAATAGCGATACTCCCTGCGATACTAACCAGAAAGGCCGGAACAGCAACTGATGGACAAGCTAGCTTAAGATAAAATAAATGACATAAATAGCTTGCCCAAATCTAATTTATTTTGCTAACGTTAGTTTGCACAGGGAACGTTAGCCGTATAACAAGCACACCAACCTACTGAAAATGCAGATTGTAATGAACGTAGTGACATGTTAGAAAGTAGGACGATCAATCCAGGCAGCTACGTGCGACGTTATTGTGCAAATGTTACCTTTGATACTTAGGAGGTTCTTTAGATACAAGAGGAAAAAGTCATTACATTCTAAAGATAATAACCCCTGGCAATGAAGTGATCCTCTTCCAACCTGTTTCTTAAATGAACTTTGTATGTTAAGTTAAATAATTAAACTATAAATTGTTTTATATTGTAAAGTGTTATTTTCTGGGAAATATTTAGCTTGTTTTTTTTTTGCTGTTTCCTTACAAGACAGAGAATTTTTTCTCATAAGTAGTAAGCGTAATAAATGACTTTCAAAAATTATGAATGTGGTATCTCCAACATAGGACAAACTAAAAGATCAATTAAAACCCGCGTTAAAGGACATATAGCTGATGTGAGGAATCGACCCTCCGGGAAGTCTGCAGTCTGTGAACATGTACAGGATCGCCCCCGTTACTAAATCAGATTTGATAGACCATAAATCCTCGCTAAAGAATACAGATTCTTTCCAAGTATATTTCGCGAGGCTATTGAAATCAAAAAACATCCTAATTTCAATAGAGAAGATGGCTGGGTGCTACCATCTGTTTGAGATCCTATAATAAATAAAATTAAATCCCAACCCAAACATACAACTGCAAGACTTCAAGATAACATATGTTCATTATGTGTATATCGGAACAAAAATTAAATTTTAATCTATGGTAACTGCGGTTAGCTATTACATCTGGACGTTGAACATCTCAGACCCCCCCCCTCCCGTAACCATGGGTGCTGTAAAGTGCTCGAAACGTCGGGTATTTAAAAAGTTAAATATACGCGATAAAATCCGAAAAAACTAGTATTACTTATATTATTTTTTATCATTTTTGCAGCCTACTTACTGAACTGCTGAATATATACCTATATTGATTAAAAATCATTCTAATCTAATCTATAGCATTGTAATAATTAATTGTTGATGGCCATCTCGATGAATTTCCTCTGCGCCTACGAGTAATAAATATATAAACGAAGTTTTTGACAAAGTTTTATTTTAAATCGTTTTATTTTAATATCAATATACGTATGTATACGGTAAGCAACATATGTATAAAAGTGCAGTAGTGATATAGAGGTTTTCATATTTAAGTTGTCCCTGAAAAATGACTCAACTAACTACTTGTTGTACCTACCATTACTGATTATGATTATTATTTGGCAACGAAATCGGGTCAAGAAATTTCATTCGTTTAATGGGATAACTTTTGTGTGTGTGTGTTATAAAAAGGGTGCTTAGTGCCCTTTTTTAAATAAAGCCCAAGTTTTCAATATGCGCTCAGAGGCTCACCTTTACATAAAGCAGGCATGTTCTCATTAATTACATTGTGTTATTTTCGTTTCAATCGCAATTGATACGTTTAATAATAAAAAAAATAACTATTTTTATGGATTTTATCACGTTTAATTTTACTATGGGTGCTTTGCAAAACCCATAGTCACGTATGACTATGTAGTTTTATTATACTTATACTACTGAAAGATTTGTAGTTTTTATTTTTCTTTTCATTATGAAAATTAATTACACTTTTGTGATAACGCATATACAGAAATTTTATTTTATGAAATTGAAGTTTTATTTAATTTATAATAATGATGCAACAACTACTTTACTTTTTTTTACTTTTAGTGATGCAACA